ACAGTAGGCGAGAGCTGTGTCGCTGTTCTCCGAAAGTTAATTTTTTTTACATATAATTAAGCATACTATACAGATGCACGTGTCTTTGTTATTGAGTAAATGCATATCTTGGCATCTGAATATCTAGGCATTCATATCATTGTGACCAGAGAAGATGGATTAACTACTGATAATGTGCCCCAGGGCCCTTCAGGACCTTCCACAGACACCAGCCAATCAACACACTGACTCTTGTGTTTAACCCATCAGAGTTCGTCCTCTCTCTTCTGTTTCAAGTTCACCAGAAGTTACTTGTGCTCTCCCCTCTGCATTACTGTGTGATCTGGAGTTATGGAAGTGTTCTTAAATGTTGAATGCGGCCTCCCTGCTAAGTCTTTTTACCTGTAAAATACTACCCCATTTTTTTCCCTCATTCTCTCCTGTGGTCCTGAGGGGGCGTGGTTTATTTTCCTGCTTCCTCCCTGGCCTAACCATTTTGCATGGGACACCTGTCATATTCAGACCTTCTGCACTGATGTTCTGAAAACTCACCTTGTCGTGTGTTTTCATATTTTCAGCTTCGTCTGACTGATTCTCAGGGGACACACAATAATATTATTCTTGTGCTAGAGATAATCCTGGAGTACCTCCTCTCCTATATCATTACAGTACTCCACACTATTCTGGAGGACATCTAACTGTTCCATAACCTGTTCTGATCCTACATCGCTCTCCCCCATTTTGTGTCCGTTCCGTAACCTGAGTGCAGTTTTAATCGAATAATTTCTCTATGTTATCAACCGTTGCTTTAATTTTGTCAAGGATAAGTTTTTCAACTTGCTCTAATTTTTTGCCCACCAAGGATACAACAACATGTATTTTCGACTCTAAATTTCTCAGTCTTCATGGCTTGCAATAGCCTCATCGTCTTTGGTCTTACAGACAAAGCAGTAGAAGACGAAAAAATTTAGATTTCGCTTAATCCTCTTCTTACAATAATTGCATACCAGCAAACCCTTTGAGGTTGATGGGATCCTGCACTCAGGATCCCTGCTTCTTTGCATGTTGCCTACTCTATGCATATGCATATTATGTGCTGTGCGTATTTTATTAGTGCGATACGTAGTATGGACAGTTGTCATTAGATGGCACTAGTGACGAGCATAAGGCAGCGCCGTAGATAAACATCTATTGTATCTACGGCGCTGGCTTGATGGGGTGCTTCTGGGGGTCTCTTGGGGGAGTATTTAAAATTATGCAGAGTTATCCTTGAGTCAAGAATTTGCTTTCTTCAGGGACTATCTTCGTCGTGAACACAACTCACGAAGTAATATGATTTAATATTTTGTCTCTTAGCACCAAAATTCTTTAAAATGTACGACTTAGCTGCATTATCGTGACGTCATGTAGCGTTATAGGCCCCAGTACCTGTGCGTGATGTAACCAGAATTACACATTTTTATTTTATTTTTATTTTCTTACGGAAACGAGTATCTCCATGTGGTCTATTCAAATACTGTATATTTTACAACAGTCTCTGCGCTTCTTGTGAGTGGTAGAGAGACGGACCACTAAGGGGCACCATGTGCTTGGTGGTGGGGGAGGGGGGGTTAGGGATGATAATGTCAACTTCTCGGAAAATTTTTTGTTTTGTATTCTGAGGGAATAGTCTCCATGACACTGAGATTACCTTACTTATAACCACAGACCTCTCTGGTGCCTCGACTGTCCACCAGTGTTGTTCCCTACATTCACAATTGTTCACAATTTATTTTTCAAATACTCCGAGCAGTTACAGATATCACTACGTGCTGTCTTAGATATTTTCGCACTATACTTTCTGTATTTCCTATGCAAGACGGGTCTCAATCACAGACAGACACTTGATCTTTCTTTATATATCATGTTTTGTAGCAAAAAAAAAAAATCTTTCCGTTGTGAGCCATACAATGCTCGCTCCTCACACCTGAACAAGTTGATTCCCTTCAACTGTGAATTTCAACAAACCGCGGCACCTATTTGATGCATTTCCTTTACCAGGACAATCTTAATGACCATGAATTCGCTGCCCAATTTCTGTCGCTCAATAAACAAAAAAGTCGAAACTGCAAAAAGATCTTCATAAAGATACGACCTGGATGTTCGCTTCGTCACCTGTGTTGATGACCTGAATGTTCACTTCTGTACCTGTGTTGATGACCTGGATGTTCACTTCTGTACCTGTGTTGATGACCTGGATGTTCACTTCTGTACCTGTGTTGATGACCTGGATGTTCACTTCGTCACCTGTGTTGATGACCTGGATGTTCGCTTCGTCACCTGTGTTGATGACCTGGATGTTCACTTCGTCACCTGTGTTGATGACCTGGATGTTCACTTCATCACCTGTGTTGATGACCTGGATGTTCACTTCGTCACCTGTGTTGATGACCTGGATGTTCACTTCGTCACCTGTGTTGATGACCTGGATGTTCACTTCTGTACATGTGTTGATGACCTGGATGTTCACTTCTGTACCTGTGTTGATGACCTGGATGTTCACTTCTGTACCTGTGTTGATGACCTGGATGTTCACTTCGTCACCTGTGTTGATGACCTGGATGTTCACTTCTGTACTGTGTTGATGACCTGGATGTTCACTTCGTCACCTGTGTTGATGACCTGGATGTTCACTTCTGTACCTGTGTTGATGACCTGGATGTTCACTTCTGTACCTGTGTTGGTGACCTGGATGTTCACTTCTGTACCTGTGTTGATGACCTGGATGTTCACTTCGGTATCTGTGTTGGTGACCTGGATGTTCGCTTCGTCACCTGTGTTGATGACCTGGATGTTCACTTCTGTACCTGTGTTGATGACCTGGATGTTCACTTCTGTACCTGTGTTGGTGACCTGGATGTTCACTTCTGTACCTGTGTTGGTGACCTGGATGTTCGCTTCGTCACCTGTGTTGATGACCTGGATGTTCTTCGTCACCTGTGTTGATGACCTGGATGTTCACTTCGTCACCTGTGTTGATGACCTGGATGTTCACTTCTGTACCTGTGTTGGTGACCTGGATGTTCACTTCTGTACCTGTGTTGATGACCTGGATGTTCACTTCGTCACCTGTGTTGATGACCTGGATGTTCACTTCGTCACCTGTGTTGGTGACCTGGATGTTCGCTTCGTCACCTGTGTTGGTGACCTGGATGTTCACTTCGTCACCTGTGTTGGTGACCTGGATGTTCGCTTCGTCACCTGTGTTGGTGACCTGGATGTTCGCTTCGTCACCTGTGTTGGTGACCTGGATGTTCACTTCGGTATCTGTGTTCATAATCCGAATAATGATATTAAATGCTAATACTAAGAAAGCTTTATCCTGTAATTATGTGTGTGTCTGTGTGTGTGAGAGAGAGAGAGAGAGAGAGAGAGAGAGAGAGAGTACATAACCGTTAATCGAGGTTATATTATTTAATAATTTCCACCAAAATCACCGTATATGTCCAAGTCCAACGCGTCCACAATGACCATAAATCTCACTGAGTACACAAGTTTATCACCCCAGAACGCCGAAGCTAAATCCACATTATTAATAATAATCAAATATACGAAGATAACTTCCCACCCCGTAAAATTATAACTCTTTCACTACGGTCAACATCCCCTCACTCGGATTCGTTGCTTCTTCCCTGACGAAATTCAATCACGTTTTATATTAAGTTTCTCGACAAGGAATTTATATAACATTAACCTGGGCGGAGTAGCGCGGACACATTCTGGTACAGGAAGGAGTTAATAACATTCTCCACTGACTAATTTAAGCCTGAAGGGAAACAACACAAGGCGATGGGGCGTAGTACACAAAGGGGCACTCTTAACTCTCGCTTGATATCGTTCACCTGTTGTATTCCTCAATTGCGTTTTACGGCTCTTGTGTTGAGGATTTGATCGAGAATTTTTGGAATATTTTTTTTTAACCTCCGACGTCTTTGATATATGAGCACACGTGTTAATGGAGGAAGTACATGGGGAAGAATAATGGACGTGGAGATTAGTGTGTGATGCTGCATCTTTTGCTGGGTGTCAGTGAGGGATGGTGAGTGGTCCCGTCCACCAAGCCTTATCACCCTGGCTGGCCCTCGCCCAGAATTAAATACATGAATTGTGTACATGGCTTGTTGGATGGAGGCGCTAATGTTTTGTGTGTGTGTGTGTGTTTGTGTGTGTGTGTGTGTGTGTGTGTGTGTGTGTGTGTGTGTGATAATATTAATATTAATAACGATAATAATAATAACAATTAACGGTTTATTGAAAGATACAGCAGCCACAAGCTGAAAATATACAAGTTACATAAGTGGTACATATATTATAAGATAATTATACTGATGTGGGAGAGAGGATCATTTAACAAGGAATTTCAGTGCAGTTACAGTGCAAAAGTGAGTTTGGCAGGAGTGAACACACAAGTTATTCACGAGTTGTTGATTTATAAAAATGGTTTGAATGGGGCTGTTTTAACAGCAATCAATACGTGGTCGTAGGGGCTGGATGCAGTTGTGGTGTCGAACAGCAATTCGTAGGTGGTAGCAGGTGGCGGTGTCGAGGATGGCGAAGCAGCTTTGTCCCAAACCGACAGATGAGGTCACGATGATGATCAGATAGGGTTGAGAGGGCCAGTATACTGAGCACCCCTTGATGCACGCCTTCTTCTGCATTCTCTCTAGGAGTCCTAGGTGTATATCAATTAAGGAAGATCAGGCAGAGGAAGTATAGGTGAGTTTAGGAAATACGAATGCAGTGCAAAAATTCATGAGTTCAGGCGCGGGGACCCCAAGGGACTTGGGACGACGGAGGACGGAATATTTGATAATGATATTGACGTGTACTTTCCAGTTTAGTTTGTTATCTATACTGACACCAAGGAGCTTGGTGGAGTCCACAATTTGGAGTGTGGTGGGGCCCAGTTTGATGGAGGGAGGTGGGACAAGGTCGGAGGAGAGGTTAATGTGCGTAACCATGGTCTTGGTGGTGATGCTGACATGGTTAGCAGTAAACCAATCTTAGAGACTGTTCAATATATTCTGGAGGGCGTTGTAGTCAGGAGCAGAGTTGTTAACACTGATGCCAAAGGTGGAGTCGCCGACATGTTTCCAATGAGTGGGAGTATCTCTGTGGGGGCACCGTTCATGAGGATGAGGAAGCAAGGCAGTCCCATCCTAGTGTGTGTGTGTGTGTGTGTGTGTGGGTGTGTGTGTGTACGAAAGCGATTTCGTTTTTTAATAAGCTGCACAAGAGTCTGTTAGATATGCATCTATGAGCATTTGAGTGTTGATTGCAATTTCATGTAACACACACACACACACACACACACACAGGACAATACTACAGCATCACTCCGACGAGCTGCCCTAACAATAAATTTTTCCTTAACGACGAGGTTTTCATCGCAAAAAAATCGATGATAGTGATGTTGGTGTTCGAGACCCGGACGACCAGCGATCACGGGAGCTCCCAGACGACGCGCCTGTCAGCCACCACCTCGTAAACTGCCACACGACTGGAACTAAATCTTGGAACTTGTCTCAAAGGCGACAAAAAAGTAAACAGGGCTGTAGGACATCCTATAGCCACACATCATCCCAGGGTAGACGTGGAGTGAACAGGAGGTCCCGGTGAGGATGTGAGTTATAGTAGATTACTCTATATTTTATAAATTATCGCAGGAAGATACGGAAGATAAAGGCAATATGATGCGTTTTTTCGCTGATGTGTGTGACGGCCAGGAGGTGAAATGTTCCGGTGCCTGGAGCGATCACTGACGTGGTTTTCGTTGTGAAGAATGATGAGGGTACAGTATGTTTGTCTGTTTCAATGTTGGTCTGAGAGGAGAACTCTGGAGAAACAAAATGTATGTGTGAGAGCCTCTCCGCTGTCGCTGATGTACTAGAACGATACGACAACACACTCCTACAACTCTTGTGCTACGTTTAGGGAATTACTGAAGATAAAACACGATGAGTCATTCTTATTCGCTTAAAATTCATCAAAATACGCTTCAAGTTTATACACATTTTGATACTGAATAAAATATAGGCAAAATGCGAGTCTTTTATGAATAATGTTGAATAAAATACAGCGAATATATAATTATTGAATTGTATGATAAACTCAAGCAAACTTCAAACATTTTGTAAGGAATATATAAGAAATATTTCACAAACAATCACTAAAGCCTGACCATCACACCACCACCATCCTAACATTGCCATCACCCATCACAACAACACCACTACCACCGTCACAACATTACCATCACCCACCACCTCCTCTTAGTTACTCCCGACATACAGTGTTCATTGACTCAGTGTATGTTTTCCGACTAAGTGTCTGTCCTCATCTTCACAACAGTCTAGCTAAGGGAAAAATTAAAGTAACGAGGGTTCAATCACAAAATAGTTGGGTCATCGCCCTCAAAGGTGAAGCGAAGGTCATAAAAGGTTAAGTTGGGGGTAATTTATCGGTATTATTATTTACTTGGGACTCGAGGCCATTATTTGTGTTGTGGAGAAGTTATGCTAGGTCGAGGTGTATCTGTCTACAACTGAGATAAGTAGTAAAGTAAAGTATAAAAAAAAAAAAACGCACGCACAAGGTTTCAAAATTATGTAGATTCCGTATACCAGGTCGATTATTACACAAAGTTTACGCAGACTCACAAATCGTTAAGTACTCAAATTCAAGGTGAATAAACTTAACACGATGCCAATAACACAAACTTAACAGTGCATTAATATTAAATCACAGTATACAAACTTTTTATTTCAAGTTTGTTTACGAAAAGAATCGCAACTTGTGTATAAAACGAACACAATTTTACCAATGTATAATATCAAGCTGTAATATATCTATACCTACCTATGTTTAATGCCAACTCATTACTTTATATTTAATCGTGGAAACTAACTCACACATCCAGGCAGTTTCTTAACCATGAAATCTTTCAGGAGTGGATAACTGTAAGTCGAATGAGTTCCATTTATGGGTCCTACTCTAAACCTGAGGACCGAGACCTATTAGGATAGGGGGCCCTTTAGGGCTTGAATCCATTAAAACTGGGATCATTGGAACTTGGGGTCATTAGAACTGAGGCTTATTAAAACTGAAGCTCATTAGAACTGGGGCTCATTAGGACTGGGTTTCAATCTTAAGGATTAGGTTATGTTAGCTTAGGGTCTATTAGAACTGGGACCCAGCTGTTCAGACACTCAGGGGGTCCACTGGTGAGGGAGGCATAAGCTTGCAGGATTATATCGTGTTGACGCCTCTCGGACCCGGGCGGAGGCATCTCGCATGTAGTACAACGTGGAATAATTGGTAACTGACGAGTAACAAGGAACCGTGCTTGGCAGTATCACAGTACAGCATTAGCGCTTACTGAGGGTGAAATAATCTCTTATAAAACTGCGAGACAGTCTGGGTTAAGATGGTCACAGCACTGAATAAAAGTAGAGAAGTGCTAAAATTTAGTGTGATAAAATAATTATATTGAAATATACGAGAGAGAGATATCCTTCACAAATACATCAAACTGGAGATCCTATGTATCGTACAGGGTTTGGGCAGCACTAACTTGAGTGGGGCTGGAATTAACGATGTTTGTTGTCCAACACTCAGGTTTACAGCTGTTCCTGACACTAGTCATACTAATGGTGCCAGCCACTCTGGTCTGGCCTCTCAAAGCGGTGCTTATTCTGACGCCCACCAGATGCCACCACTGAGGTGACGATCGTAATGCAGTGCTGATTTTACGTTGTAGTATGGTAGATAAAGTAAGGCAGGGTGAAACTGAGGGAAAAATTCTTTACATCATTTGCCTCTGTCTACCTAGCAGTAATTGGGAGCCTGGATTTTAATCGATTTACGGATCGTGATCCTGGGTAATGGTTAGTCAGTGCAGTTGGTGAGTTGTCCGGTCTTCGTGGGTCATTACTTGACACTGGATCATATAGTTCGTTAACTTCTACACTTTAAGCAAATTCACGTGCCAAGGCGGCCCTAGGGTCGGCCATCCTCGAACACGAGATAACAATTATTATCATTACTACAGTGAGGTGTCACTGTGTAGTATGGTAGAGATAATGAGGTTTCAGAGTATAAGGTACTGTAGTATAGTCTAGTACATATTTTCATAATTTAGGGTTCGGTATGCTACAGTGTAAAGCACTGTACACGACCCTTCACTTCCTAAACTGTAGAGTCAGGTACACATCCACAGCTGGCTCGAGTGGGGGTGCCCCGGGCACAAACCGTAGGAAGGACAGAAGGCGAGCGTTGTATCCACTCAGCCGCCGCACTCTCAGAGGTACAGTAAGGTAAGGGATAGAGCAGATATTGATATTTCTTGCTAAAGTATGGTACAAAGTATAAGAAAAATGCATCAGCGTAGCGAGGCCAATCATGGTGGAGGAGATGAAAGGCGTCAAGTATAAAAGTGGTAATGAGTAGAGTGGGGGTGAGTAAGGCCGGGCACTGTGCCACATGAATATTCAACACTTCCCTTGGCGAAGCTAATTACGTTGGTTCGACTCCCTGGAGATAGCAAAGTGAGAGCCACTCTTATCAACTCTCCCAAATACACTCAAGACACCCACACATACACACTCACTAAGTCTCCTGAACACACTCAAGCGAGAGAAGCAATTGTAAATTCTCCGGAACACACTCACCCCACGCCAGCTAAACACACTTGAGACGCACACTCACATCACATGGCCACCTATACACACTCGAGAGAGATACACTAACCTCCCTGTAAACAAACAGTCTCTGCATCATAAAATTCTCTCTCCTTACATTTCAATTTTACCTGGAGCACTGTGTTGATACTCGTCTGATTTGATGTTTGAGAAGTACATTCAAAAGTCCGAGTAAAAGGGTTTACGTGCCCCTATGTTAACAAATATTACACACTTTTCTTCAAACGCTTGTGTTCGGATTCACAATTGTTCGTACCATGAATATTCCCGGTAACTAAAATTATAAAAAATGTAGCTAAATGGATAAATTAGGATTTTTTCTTTCTTTTCATTTCTAACTCATATTTTGTTCACGAGGGCGGTGTACATTGAGTGTATTAATAAATTTAGTATCAGAATATTCGAATTTAAGTCCTATGTGGTACCATAATTCACGTATGAGTATAAAAGAATTTAGAAAGTGCTTAATTTAGTTATTGTAACCAAGACCTGGCCAGCACAGTATCCGAGTAATAAGTGTTCTTATTAATAATATATATGTAAAGATAGAAAAAATAAATAAACTCAGTGCATGACCAAAATTTGACGTTCTGCAATACATTGGGTCAGTAATAGCGAGGGTTGGTAAAAGTTCAAGTACAAAAACAAGTTCCTTTACAAACTCGACTTGAGATCGAACTATACTGCTATGTCACAGCCTCTCGCTAACTGTTCCTTGTCCAATTTATTATCTTGATATTTCATTATAACCTCCATCAGTTATTTATCTGAGCGCTTATATGTTATTTATTACTCTTTTTATTCCGCACCACTTTATGATTTTCAAAAATTTCATATAATCTACACCTACAGTATATTATCTCCCTGCCTCCTCCCCTCTACACTCCTCCACCCACTTGGTCGCCGCCAGATCAACACAGCCGCCCGGGAGTGAGTCACTTGGGCTGCCAACACACCATACCCTCACTGCCACCTCCTATTCCCTCCTATAATTTCTAGGATAATTCTGATTCCAATTCTCGTTTGATCTTATAATTGGACAAACGGAGCGTGTTTACAAAGGAAGTGGAGGGGGAGGGCGGGAGGCGAGTAAGGAAGGGGGATTGGTATGTTAGTAAATATTAGTATTGTTGATTTTTTCTGTAATTCCTTTGAGGGGAATGAAATGTAGAATATAGAAAGTTACTACTACTACTACTACTACTATCATAAGGAATAGAGACGAATTCCATAAAATGATTGACAAGAAAATTATTTATTAAGTATATTTTTTAGTATGTAAATTGATCATAAAACAAGTACAGTACCTAGGATGGACGATAGCTCATTCAACTCACACTGTCTCACCAAATGGCTTTCTTGCTTGACGCCACATATTATTATAAGATTTTCAGTGTCCAAAAATAAATTTCTCTGGGTATAATATAACTGTTAAACAATTGTTCAGAATATCTGTTTAATGA